CAGCTTATGTAAATTGAATTAAAAATCTTAAATCACTACCAGAATAAGGAGGTAATTTTAGACACCTCAAAGATGCTGACTGACTTATGGTAGCACTTCCTGGGGTCATTTATTTGTCATTAAGAGTACGATAATGCAGAATATATGATCTGACGACTGCCAGATCAGATATGAAATAATGTTCAAACAACTCACCGTCCACGCTGCCAGAGACACGATAACAAACATCACGAAGCAGTTGCCAATGAGCGATAAAGTGATACCAGATGTACAATAACACTATAGATGTCAATCAGTTGCTGCCATGTAGAAAACTGATAGAACATAGTGACGATATTTACAGAGGAACGATAATACTGTACACGGTAACACGGGTCCTTAGTGTGTTGTGGCGCTAAACTGTTGCCAGCTGTAAGAAAACACTTATCACAGTCCAGGTCAACGAGTGTAAACAAGTGACTTTATATTTGCCTAAGATAATAGACTAAAAATAACAATAACAAAGACGGCTATATGTCAACAATAATATAACAATCACAGCAGTACCGCCACTATCAACAACAACAACAACAACAACAACAACAACAATTACCACTGCCGCTGTCACCACTACTATAAAGAACAACAACAACAACAACAACAACAACAACAATACAACAGCTACAATACAAACTAGGGGGGGGGAGGTTGGGGAGGGATAGTGTCAAGTAGAAAGACTGTCAGAAAATGGCGACTGTCAACCTCACTCGTGTATGAAAGTCTCACGCGTCTCTCTACCTGTCATCAAAAAGGGGGGAGGGGCAGGTAGGCATGCTTTCCGTCCGTCCGTCCGTCTGTTAGTATGTGAGTTCTTTCTTGTGTCTGTCTCTGCGTTCCCCCCTCCTTGCATCAGCGCTCCCTCCCTTCCCCCCTCTCCCCCTCTCCCCCTCCCTCCTTCCCTCCCTGTGTTGGAGTGACGTCACTGTGGACTTGACCCCCTTCAACCTGCGTCACCTGTTCTCAAACTGCCTGTCCTAACATTCACCCCCCCCTCCTGTCACCCCTGCTTCCCTGTCTCCCTTATCTCCCCTGACTTCTCCCTGTCACCCCTGCTTTCCCCTGTCTCTCCCCCATCATCCCCACAAAGATACATACAGTCAAGTTTCCTCAGCACTAGTGACTGTCAGACCGTATCTAACTGTACCTCACTTACAATACAACTCATAGATGGAGTCTTAAAAAAAATCACAAGCTTAACTTTTTTTTACCGTAACTGGCGACAAGAGATGACACTAAAAAACTCACTTATAAAGACACATAAACATGGATTCTTAAATATTCTTACGCTAAAAATTATCCCCCTTAACTAAACATTGAGAACAGATCTAACCTTTTAGTAATTTAATCTAATAACGTAAGGATGGGTTACAGTAGGTGAGTTGTCTTAACCCCTGCTAAAAGAAGTTAAAATCGTATAAAGAATGTTAGAGAATTGTTGTCTTGGTCTAAGTTAAGAAATAGAGAACAAACACACGGTTATTAATGGTTAGAAAAACACCTAAAGAGTGGAGAAGTGTTTTGTGTGTGTGTGTGTGTGTGTGTGTAATGGCAAGGGTATGAGGACGAGGAGGAGGTGACGTAAAGAGAAGACAAAGAAGAAGGAAGACGAGGAGGAGTAAGAGAAGGGGGAAGAAAGGTGGAGAACGAAAGTGGTGAGGGGGGAAGGGGGGGGAAGTAGATAAGGTGAAAGGGAGGAAGGGGGAGGGGAAGGCAAGCCAAGGGGAGGGGAGGGGTAGAGGAAGGGGTGAGGTAAAGGGAACGTGGGTGTGTCTAAGGGAACGTCTAATGATGGGGGTAATAGGGTCACTGCGAGGGTGGCCAGACGGAGGCCCTGATCTATGGCTGACGGAAACATTTACACTGAAGGAAAACTTGTCTAGTATTACCGCGAGGAGGGATGGGATAATGGCTGGGATAGTTTGGGGTAAAGGCTGCGTTAGTTTGGGGTAGTGGTTGGGATAGTGGTTTGGGATAATGGCTGGGATAGTGGTTGTTTGGGATAGTTTGGGGTAAAGGCTGCGTTAGTTTGGGGTAGTGGTTGGGATAGTGGTTTGGGATAGTCGTTGATATAGTCTGGGATAGTGGTTTGGGATATTGACTGGGATATGTATAGTGTTAGGTATACAGTGTCAGGCAGAGACGGATTAAGGGTTTTATAGGCCCTGGGCACTTTTTTATCGTAGGCCCCTAGATTCCCTGATGAACCATTATGTGTCTTATTTTATCCTTACTGCCTTCAAACATTACACCAACACCGTGATGTAGGTCCCTTAAACCTTCGTAGGCCCTGGGCACTGTACCCACTGTGCCCCCTTGATAATCCGGCCCTGGTGTCAGGTATACACAGAGTCAGGTATACACAGTGACTGGCATACACAGTGTCTGGTATACACAATGTCAGGTATACAGTGACAGGTATACACAGTGATAGGTATACAATGTCAGGTATACACAGTGACAGGTATAGTGTCAGGTATACACAGTGTCAGGTCTACACAGTGTCTGGTATACACAGTGTCAGGTATACACAGTGTCAGGTATAGTGTCGATGAGTGAGTGGAAGGGTCGAGTGGGAGGTTGTGGTCGAGGGTCGATCTATCCAAGGCAGTGGAATCTATTGCCTTCTGTCCTGATTGTATAGCGGCTGGGAAGTCTATCAGCCACACAGCCAATCGACCAGCCAGCCACACAGCAAGTCGACCAGTCAGCCAAGTGGGCACAAATCAGGGGTGACAAAGAACCACATATATCTCCCGCCAGATCCCGTGTTTGACATACGAGGATTTGTAGTTTTGGCGCAACAACACTACTGTCAACCCAGCAGGTGTGAGGCCGCGCCCGAGCACTCGCGCCTGTGGACCACAGCAGCACCCGCGCCGTGTGCCCTCAATCCCCATCCTCAGCGCCCTCAGCCCCCAGTACCGCTCCCCTAGCCCCAAGCCTCCGCGCTCTTAACCCCCAGCCCCGCGCCCTCAACCCCCAGCCCCGCCCCAGCCCCGCGCCCTCAACCCCCAGCCCCGCGCCCCCTATCCCTACCCTCTCGCCAGCTCCCTGGCGCTTGCGTCCAATTATTTTAACTGCTGCTAAAACACGACAATTACGTGACGTGTAGAGCCCTGGAGAAACACATTTATTTGTTAACTATAAAAGGGATCAAGAGATATTACGAACCTAAAATTACTGAGAACTTCACCATGCAGTGACCGCCAGCTTAAACTGTTTGGTGATTCTTGAAACAAATTTAATGGTGACTATACGATCCTAATATTTTTGCAACTTATACGAACAAAATTTAACAGGGATTACGAGATTAAATTTGTAATTCTGAAAACGATTTTGCAGGTGACTACAAACATAAAATTGTCAATAATTTTTATTTTTTTAACGAATTCAAGAGTGGTTACGAACACAAAATACCTAAATAATGGGAGAGAAGGAACAGATTGAGCGGAGTTAAATGGACATGATCGGAATGTGTTGGCGTGTGTAATCGAGGGTTGGGATCGGCCAAGACAAGAGTAAGTGATACTGTTCATCTTGAGGCTCGGCAGATTCTCAGAAGATCGTAGAGGTGAACTTCAGACTGTAGAGATAAGAGAACGTATCTATCTGGCAGCGAATATGGCGGCGAAATTGTACCGAGACTCTTATCAGTTAAAATGGGGAAAAATATCATATGTTGAACCTGGATCTAGTATATTTATATTTTAATTCGATTTTTAAAGAATGACAGGAGAGTGTTAGTGCAATTTCGACGTCATTTTGTTTATCTTCTTCTTTTATCGTAGTTTAATTAAGCAAGTGGACCCTATATACCTCCCCGCCATTCATTTAATTAATAGCAAACTGGCAACAAATTCAAAGCGTGGTTGTCAAGTGTGTGTGTGTGTGTGCGTGTGTGTGTGTGTGTGTGTGTGTGTGTGTGTGTGTGTGTCACTGAGGGAATTTACCATCCCTCTGTTTACATGGTGAGGGGTAGGGGGAGGGGAGAGTTGACAGTGTATGATATGATGTTGATTGTATGTATGTATGTATGTATATTACCACACACTACCACACACACACACACACACACACACACACACACACACACACACACACACACACACACACTTCATCTACAACACTTCCTTGGGTATAAAACAACAAAGTAGATTGGTTTAGTTAACAAGAAGGTCCCCCTCTCCATCACCCCCACCCCCACCCCACCCTCCACCCCCACCCCACCCCACCCCCACCCATATATATAACCAGTGAGGGTGTCCTTAGGTAGAGTGTGTCGGGTGTGTCGCAGATCAAAGCACATTCCTGGTTTACGTGCCCGAGGATCTGTTGAACCAGGCTTGTTCTCTGGGTGCGGGACCCTAACCTTACCCACCCCAAGGAGCTAAATATATAAGGGGTTCCTCTCTCTCACGTTGGCCTTGCCCCTAACACTCCTCTGGACTTACCCTAACACACTCACTCTGGCCTTACCTAACACACTAACACACTCACCTTGGCCTTACCCTAACACACTCACTTAGCCTTACCCTAACACACTCACCTGGCCTGGCCTTACCCAACACACTCAACACTCACTCTGGCCTTGCCCCTAACACAACACACTAACACTCACTCTGGCCTGGCCTTACCCTAACTAACACACTCACTCTGGCCTTAAACACACTCCTCTGGCCTTGCCACACTACTCTTTTCACTCTGGCCTAACACACTCACTCTGGCCTTAAACACACTCACTCCTTGGGCCTTGCCCTAACTCCTCTGGCCTTGCCCTAACACACTCACTCTGGCCTTGCCCCTAACACACTCAAACACACTCCTCTGGCCTTAACACACTCACGAGATCGTTTAGTGGTTAGCGACCTCCCCGGTTCATTAAGAGATTATAGTGACTTATTCTAATAGTTTACCTGTATCACCTGAGTAACCTAATTAACAGGTATCATAGGTTATCTTACCAGCATCCAGCAAGTAGGCAGGACCCTCCTCTCTCAGCTTACCTGTGGGTAGAAAAATCTTCGTCAGTACACCTGTTCACCCTTTCCTCTATCTCAGTACCTCCTCTTGTTGGGGGAGGACGAGTGGAGTGGGGTAGGGAGGTGTGGTGGTGTGTGGCAGGACGGGTGTGGTCATTGGCGGGGCACGATGGTGGTAATAGCATGGTATGGGGTAAGATGGGTGCAAGGTAGTGGGGCGAGGGGAGTGGTTGTGGGGGGGCAGAGGGTGTGGCAGGGCAGGGGGTTGTGGCAGGCAGAGGGGTTGTGGAGGGCAGGGGGTTGTGGGAGGGGCAGGGGTAAGGGGTTGTGGCGGGGCAGGGGTTGTGGCCAGGGGGGGGGTGGCAGGGGGTTGTGGCAGGGGGTTGTGGCAGGCAGGGGGTTGCAGGGGTTGTGGCAGGGGGGTTGTGGGGGGCAGGGGTTGTGGCAGGGGGGGTTGTGGCAGGGGGGGGGGGTGGGCAGGGCAGGGGTTGTGGGGGGCAGGGGTTGTGGCGGGGCAGGGGGTTGTGGCAGGGGTAGGGGGGGCAGGGGCAGAGGGGTTGTGGCAGAGGTTGTAGGGTGCAACAGTAGCAGTGGTGTGGGAGTTTGTGTGTTGGCTCTGTAAGTTGACATTCCTGGGTGGGCCACACGTCAAACACGACCACTACATACATCTCTACTCTGCCCCTCTCCCTCCTCCCCCTCCCTTCTCGCTCCTCCCCTCCTCCCTCTCCTTCTCTCTCCCCCTCCTCCCCCTCCCCCCTCCTCCCCCTCTCCTTCTCGCTCTCCCCTCCTCCCTCTCTCCTCTCCCCTCTCCCTCCTCCACCTCTCCTTCTCGCTCTCCCCTCCTCCCCCTCTCCCTCTCCCTCTCCCCTCTCCTTCGCTCTCCTCCCCCACTCTCCTCGCTCTCCCCCTCCTCCCCCACTCTCCCTCCCTCCCCTCCTCCCCCACTCTCCCTTCTCGCTTCCTCCCCCTCTCCTTCTCGCTCTCCCCTCCTCTCTCCTCGCTCTCACCTCCATAATATCCCCCTTTTCCTCCTCTCCCACAACTCCTTCACACTCTCTTCCTCCTCCTCACTCACACTCCTCTCCACTCTTTTCCTCATCCTCTCCCACACCCCCTCCTCCCCTCTCACTTTAATTACTCCTCCTTATCTCTATTATGACAACTCGGTGCTTCGCTAATCCCGTTCGGACACATGACACGGAGTTTTTCCCTGGTAAATGGTTTATTGAGCTTTAGGAACTGCCGTTAGTGAGTCCGTCGTTAGTGTGTGAGTGTGTGTGAGTGTGTGTGTGTGTGTGTGTGTGTGTGTGTGTGTGTGTGTGTATGTGTGTGTGTGTGTGTGTGTGTGTGTGTGTGCGGAGGAGTAGGAAGATAACATTACAGGCGAAACTCAAGTGTGAGGACCACCCGACCCCATCAGGAGATAATGACACGGCCCACCGAGGCGGGAACGTCCATAACCACCAATATGACTTCCACTCTTAAGTGTTTCAGCCTCAACACGATGCCTGACTTGGGGTTGGGTGGATGGTAGACGGGTCTAGTGTCCGCACCACGGGGTATGGGAGGGGGAGGGGGGGTGGAGGGGGGGGCTCACTGTCAGGAGGCGTCTGAGGGTGGCGTGGGTTGTATGTCGTACCAATGGATCCCTGCAGGAGACGATGGAAGGGTCTAGTCCTAGTCACCGGACGTCTGTAACAACTAAGAACACGGGGTAGGGTATCCCATCACTGTCACAGGGTGTTCGGGGCATCTGAGGGGGCGCTCCCTGTCATGGGATGTGACACCTCAAGGGGCCCCACACTTTCCCGCCACACACACACGACACCTTCACCTAAAACATATAATTTCATGCCCTGCTTGTTGTGGTGCCGTTGAGAATATATCAAGAAGAGAGGACGTTCCTTCAGTTACACCTGCGACATACCTGTGACACACCTGTGACACACCTGAGGCACACCTGCGACACACCTGAGGAACACCTGCAACACACCTGCGACACACCTGCGATAGGAAAGTGTGGTTGATCCATCCATCTGCTAACCACACCTGAGTCACGGTAAGTGTATAGTGGTGGAGGGAGTCAGGCAGGTGGTGTATTGTGGGGTGGAAGTTACGACCCCAGGCACTGTCATGACCCCCAGGTAATGTCACGACCCCCAGGCACTGTCACGACCCCCAGGTACTGTCACGACCCCCAGGTACTGTCACGACCCCCAGGTACTGTCACGACCCCAGGAACTGTCAGCAGAAGAGGATGGATAGTTCAACTTGTCACTTAGGAATCAAACATCACAGCCTACACATGTGTACCTCATTAAGTAAAGCCACTCACAAGCTGCCCCCGTCACTCACGAGCCTCCCCGTCACTCCTCACTCGAGCCGCCCCCGTCACTCTGAGCCGCCCCGTCACCGCCCTCACTCACGAGCCGCCCCCGTCACCCACAAGCCGCCCTCGTCACTCATAAGCCGACCCCGTCACTCACAAGACGCCCCCGTCACCGCCACCGCCACTGACAAGCCGTCAAACAAAGAATCAAACAAGATAAAAATGCAAACAAACAAATATCCATCTTAATACCTTGATTGCCAAACACTCATACAACCAAACAATGAAACGAGCCTCAAGCAAACAAGAAAGCAAGGAACTAAACAACAAAACAAACATATCACATTCAAACAAACAAACATCTAAGCTTATAAAACACTCAAACAAACATCTAAGCTTATAAAACACTCAAACAAACATCTAAGCTTATAAAACACTCAAACAAACATCAAAGCTTATAAAACACTCAAACAAACATCTAAGCTTATAAAACACCCAAACAAACATATAAGCTTATAAAACACTCAAACAAACATCTAAGCTTATAAAACACTCAAACAAACATCTAAGCTTATAAAACACCCAAACAAACATCTAAGCTTATAAAACACTCAAACAAACATATAAGCTTATAAAACACTCAAACAAGTAAACAGTCCTTGATATTTTAAGAGGTGCAAGACGTATACGCGAGGGAGAGATAATGAGGCAAACAGAGACGGAATTAGCTCAGTAAACACTAAGCAAACAACACTTGTATCTATGTAAACAACGTTTGTAATAATAAGAAAAAAATATGGCCGTGTAAACATAAATTATGTCTGTAAATAACACTTGTACCTATGTAAACAAAATTAATATGAACTAAAATGTGTCTGCGTAAACAATGATAACAATATCAATAAGAAATCCAGCGTAAAAAAAACAATGATACCAATGTAAAAATTATAGCAATTTAAATAAACAATAAAAAATGTAAATACAAATAAAAAATGTAAATAAACGAAAAGTGTAAATAAACAATAACACAATGAACGTAAAATTAAATTCTTATTAATGCTGAAGAAATCAATAGAATTTACACCAATAGAATTCATACCAATGTAAAAATATTCGATAGGAGAGAGAGAGAGAGAGAGAGAGAGAGAGAGAGAGCTATTATACTCTCGGCACCTGACATCTGGCCACAGCTGGGGGAGGGAGAGGGGAGAGGAGAGAGGGAGAGGAGAGGGAGAGAGAGGAGAGGGCAGGGGAAGGGAGATGGGAAATTTCAAGAGATTGAAGACGGTAAAAGGGAGAGGGAAGGGAACAGGTGAAGAGGAGGAAGAAGGAAAGATGGAAGAGGGGGAAGAAGAGGGGAGAGGAGGAAGAGGGGAGAGGAGGAAGAAGAGGGGAGTGGGAAGAAGAAGAAGAAGAAGAAAGGTAATTAGACAAGACAGAAGTAGATCAGGTGAGACGAGTATAGCTCGACTGTGACCCACACACCTGTGACCCACACACCTGTGACCCACACACCTGTGACCCACACACCTGTGACCTACACACCTGTGACCCAGTAAAAGGTACTTATATAATATAATGACCCACAGTAACACAAAGGCTGGGACAGGGATGATCCTCTTGACACTTATTTGTCTTCATGAGTTAACGTTTGGATTATCACAACCGACTGCTTCTTTCGGGTGACTATTGCTCCATCTCTAGGCCGAGCTGCAGGTCTAGGCTGTGACGGGCGCGGACAGTGAGTGAGGGTCTAACAAGGGGCAGTGGTGTTCGTATGGCTGTGGTTCCTGAGGGCTGAATGAGGTGGTTTGGAGGGTAAGTATCTGATCCTTAACGAACCCTCCCTTATGTTCGTCTGCCCTACACATAATGTTCTTCTTAAGAGTTCCCGGTGTGTGTACAGGACCACCAAACTTTATCTCCGTGTGAAGATCGTTGTTGCTTCTATAGATTCTTGTGGTGAGTGACTGAGAAAACCGGAACGTCAATTGATGAACAAAAATAAAGTCAGTGTCAAGATGTTCATGTTTGTCTCAGCCTTAATGTTGTGTTGTGTTGCGTTGTGTTGCATAGCGTTAGCTTACGTAGCTATTTAACTGATACATATCCCGGCCTGCTGATTCTCAGACACGTGTTAGGTTAGGTTAGGGAGGAGACAGATTCATACACTCCATGCCCTGCGTGTTGGTCTTGTTAAGTACTTTCTGTGTTCTACTCCCTTCCTCCTTCCCTCCCTCCCTACTTCCCTCCCTCCCTTTTTCTCAAAATCCTCATGTCATTTTCTTCCCTTCCTTAGCTTTATCTTCCCTCCTCCGGCTTTCCCCTCCCTGCCAGTACACCTTTCTTCCCTCCCTCACTCCCTATGGGTCGAGGCATCAGGTTGACTTTCCTCAGCGCACGCCACTCACGGGGTCTCGCACCTGCCGCCCGACACTAATTATTACCTTGGGACCCTCAAAACACGCCGCCGGGGACCAGGGCCACACGGGTCCATATTTTGGCCATGAAATAGTGGCCACACGACCATCAGAATTACGGTAGAAGGCCATAGGTTTGTATGGGCCACTTGAAGCGCTCTTTGATATGAATCCTTGTCATATTTCTTAAGGTGGTCGGGGAGAGAGAGAGAGAGAGAGAGAGAGAGAGAGAGAGAGAGAGAGAGCAGCAACAGGTGTGAGGACAGGGCCCCGGGGAGGACAACATTACTGGGTGATGTAGACGGCAGTAACACAGACACAAGACAATCGCCGATAAGCAGGAGTTACAGCAACAACCTTGACGATAAAATCACTGGGCGTTTGATCGTCTCTTTGGCCCGAGGTTTACGATGACATTTGAGCTTGTACCAAATTTGTTCCGCTTTCATTTCTTAATACATAAAGTATAGCCAAAAGAAGGTAAATATTTATGGAATGTTGTTCTTCCATTTTTATTGACACGAAGAATATAGGAAAAAACGAATAAACACGCGTATGAAAATATGCGCATCGCGTTACTCTAACATTTTTCTTGATGTAGTATAGCAAGAAGAAGGTAAACACACATATGTAAAAATGCCCATCACGTTGCTCTTCCATTTTGCTGTTGTCGCGGTATAGTTGACGACGCAGAAGAGTGGCGGGTGGCGGCTGGCCGAGGTGTAACTTTCCCTCCAAAACACGCAGCGTCAGTTACCTGTCACTCGACACACATGTTGCCCTCGCAGCTGACTACCGCGGCACAGCCGGGCAAATAAATTGGACCGAGTGCTGTGGGGATACTTCCTGTGCAGCTGAGTCTCGAGAACTTTACAGGTAAATAAACAAACTGTGTAACACATGATCAAGAGATCTTTCCCCTAAAGTCGAGTCTGTGTAATTTTACAGATAAATACAGAAACAGTGTTGAATACATTATGGCAACCATTCGTTACATCCGAGTCACAGTAATTAACAACAGTATGTAGTGTTGGGTGAATACAACGAACTTTCTCTTTTACAAACTTTTTCAGGTGACTAATAATTCAACATCGGCCGATTGGTTACAGTACTCGCCTCCAGTCCTAAGGGTCACTGGTTCAAACCCATAATACTTCCAGTTAACCTAGCTGTGAATAGGTACTCTACCCACCCACGTGTCTCCAACTTTACAAGGAAATACACCAGCAAGTTTTCAGGAACTCAGAAAGTCTCACAAACTCAACAAGAAACTTAAACAAACAGTGTTGTTGGTGGATCTGGTGACGAGGAGGAGGAGGCGGAGCAGGAGGAGGAGGGAAGCAGGAGGGGAGGAGGGGAGGAGGGGGGGCAGGAAGAGAAGGGTAAGAAGAAGGAGGAGGGGGGGAAGGAGGCTTTGAAGTTTCCTACCGACAGTGACAGTGTAGGTGCAAGAAACTGTGGTGGAGTGTCTCGTGGTTCACCTGGCACCTCCACATTCATTAGCTGGTGCAGGTGGAGGTGTGAGTGGCGGCTGAGACGGTGGTTAAATCCCGAGTTGATGCCTCTACTGCTACCACCATCATTACCACCACTGCTATCATCATCACTATTACCACCACCCCACCACCACCACCATCACCACCACCACCACCACCACCACCACCACCATCTCCTCAAGACTTCATAAATTCTCGACTCGTAGATGATAAATAAGTAAGGTGAACTCTGTTGCTCGTTAAGGCCAAATAGAGTGAATTAAGCTGTCAAGAGTAATGTACTCAGACCCTCAGGTGGAGATGTCACTCTATAACACACTAATGTACACGAGTGCAATCAATTAGCAGGTGACGACGAGGCTGTCACTGAATGATGAATGATGTTTCTTGTAGACGCTGTGAGGGGCACACACACACACACACACACACACACACACACACACACACACACACACCAAGAATCATAGTCATCGTATAACTTAAAAGGTAAACAAACACATAAATGATTGTCGTACACTGAATCACAAAATTATCGTACACAAATAGTATAGAAATTAAACTCGTACACAAATAGTATAGAAATTAAACTATGACACGTCCTCAGTTAAATAAGTTGACTTAGTACTAATTAGGCGACAAATATGAGGACACGAGAACTCTGGGAATATTCTGTCTGTTAAGATCATCGACACGTAACTGTGACTAAGTTATTATATCCAGTTAAGTTAAGTAGAATTTTATTTGAAAGTTGTGTTTGTCTTTGAGAGAGAGAGAGAGTCTCTTAGAGTGCCACTTTTGATGCCAGTTTGGGTGCCATGGTTGTGTGGCAGTGTGGGTTAGGTTAAGGGGAGGGGGAAGGGGGATGTGAAGGAGGAAGGGGGAAGGGGGAGATAATAGTGGAAATGCAGGGGGACGCGGTTGCCATGTCTAATTATAACCTTTAGAACACATAACCTAACCTAACTTAACCTAACCTAGCCTAACCTAACCTAACCTAACCAAATAAAAGACTTGGCGTCACTGGGCAAGAGGTTCTGAATGTCTTATAAGATGTTGACTAAATTTATAAGCGTCTGCTGCCCTTGAGCGAACATAAAGGAACAGTAATTAGATTCTGCCTTTCCGCTTTCACTGTCACAACTTTTTTAAAACATTAGTTGGTGATGTAAGAGGGTGGGTGGGTGGGTGGGTGGGTGGGTGTAAGCAGGCAGGTGGGTAGGT